TAATGTCACGACTTTATAGACAAACTTGTAAATAGGGATTTCCTGGATTTTTTTGTAAATCTGTATTGTCTTTATCCAGCATGGCCAACTGTCTAAGTAGGAATATTGTGGTACCTTGGTTACTTTGAGGTTAGGTAATAAAAAAAACATTGCTAATTACTGGTCAATTACTAATCCTACGATGAAAGAATATAATACTACGCACATTAAGAGTTTCTGTTAGTACCTTAAATAACTATAAACAAACCATATTAAATAAATAAAATAATCTTGCATTAGACATCTGAACCCTGTATTTTCTTTTACATTGACGTATTTTTTGACAATGACTTATGTAGTTTTTATTCTAACTTGTCTACTTGCTAAAGACACTAATGAGGTTCAACAGTTTCTACAATAGATATTTTAAATACAAAGGTAGTTTTCCAATTACAGCACTAGAGCGTATTATGCGGCATAATGCTTAACATTCAATGTTTCAACTACAGCAACGCTTCGCACAATCGAGCACTCTCAAAAGTAATGTTTTTGTGTGATATGTGCAATCTATACCAACTCAGTGACAGTAAATTAACAAGTGTTTTTTCTTTATTTTTTTTTTCTTTGATCGAAATGTTTTATTTAAATATTAAAGTTAGTAATATTATTTATTGTTGAAATTTTTTTGAAGCTTTCGTGTCATTGTAGTTTTTTCAAAATAATCAAAGTTAGTTCAAACGGTGTTAATAATATAAATATAAGTATGGATGAAGATATGATGATACAAACATTGTCATTTTTTTTTATATTCCACATTTTTTTTCAACACTGAACTTAGCGCACTCTGCTGGTTAGGCTTGTTGAAAATATATCGATGTATCGATATATCGATATTTTTTGTGCGATATATTGATATTTTTTGTCGATATATTTTGATTCGATATATTGATACATCGATTCAAAATAACCAATATCGAAATTCGTATCAAAAACGATATTTCTTTAATTATTAGCGGCATATCACGATCTAACTAAATTCGTACCTGGAAAATCGTAACTGGATCTCATATTGATGATATTCAACATATTTATGATCTGTGCTGTATTTAGTATTGTCTATTATTTGTAAATCTGTTTCGCTGGTGAATTGGTTGTGCTGATTTCCATTATATTCTGTGAAGTGTGTGATTGTCTAGTCTTGTTAACGAAAGAGACCCTGCAATCATTTACCTGAGAGGCCCTGCAATCATTTTCATCATTCGAAAATAGGGTCTATTTTTAGGGAGATAATTTTCGTTCCATTATTCTTCCGCGTGTCATCTTTCGTGAGATACTGTACTGTCATGTAGTGTAGCGGCTATTTGGTACTTTGAAAATTCTTTCTTTAATAATAGTTTGTATTAGGTGTGAGCGTTCTAAAGACAAACCGGTTTCAAGGACCGTTTTGTGTTCCGCGACGATCAGTGTTGGATGTAGGTTTGTTCAAAAAAGATAGCACAAAAAAATGGAAAGGATAGTATTTATAAAAAATAAATAGTACACTTTCATTATTTTTAATTTAATATAAATAATAGTCAATAAAATCAATACCCGTTAAGGCAATATTTACTTCTCTTCTAAGTCTATGAGTTCTTGAATATTACTATTAGTTCTATCTTCATCCTTGGCATTTAATCTTAACAATATATCCTCAGTAGGAATAAAATCAGTACAATTTCCACTTTTGTTACCGCTTTTGATGCCACTTTCCTTAATGAAAACATTGAAAACGTACTGTTTTACACAAAAACTCGCAAGTGATTGTTAGAACATTGAGCAAAATTTGATTGAGTTTCGAATGGAAAGGAAGGAACGAGATTAGTGGAAAGGAGAAGTGTACTGCGGAGGATAATCAGGAATCCCCGGCCATCAACACAGAAAACATCGCATGATCAGAATTCGGCTGGGTACAAGCACGGTCGAAATATTCATAATATGACGTAAAACTAAGCATTCGGGAGCAAACTTAAAATTATAGTATTTAAGCGTACTATCCTATCCTAGAGATGTGGATAGTATATAGTACAAAAGGCGAAATCATAGTATAAATACTATAATTATAGGACAAAATCCAACTCTGGTGACGATAGAACACTTTTACGTTTCGGATCAAAACAGTCTTCGTCGAACAAATAGTCCTCGGATTGTCTGCACGCCAATATGTACTTTATGATGAAATAAATACAGTCCATAATAGAACGTAATGATATGAGGCCGTTTCGTTCTATGATAATTAAGCTTTGATTTTACAATAATATAATCTTTATAATTAAACATTTAAAGTCGATTATCGTATAACACTACATTTATTTCAATGTTTCGTCGTTTCGTTCGCAGCAACGAAACGAACGTGAACAAGATTTCATTTAGTTCAGTTTCGTTGCGTTACATTCGTTCGACCGTCGCGTGTCGTTTCGTTGCGTCACCCAGCCGCAATCAAAACCAGTTGCGAACGAGAACCGTTTTGAGGACTAGTTTTCGTTTATGAGAAAACGGTTGCGTTTCGTCGTTCGAAAATTTGAGAACGACCCACTGCTAGCAATATTATCATTATTACTGTGCAAGGCTGACCTAAATATATTCTTGGGAAAATTGGTCCGATATATCGATGTTTTTTTCGCGATATATCGAAGCCGATATTGATATTTTTTAAAATATCGAAGTATCGATATATATTATTTTTCAACTTTCGACATCCCTACTGCTGGTGCATTTGAAAACTAATTCACTTTCCAATTAAGCATCAGCATAATTCGGCATTGTGCGCCACTGAGTCGCATTATGCTCTGTAATTGAAAAACTACCAAATAAAGCTAATGGTGTAATATTCCACTCGTAAGTTTAGAGATTTCATTGTTAAGGGCGCTTTCAATTTATCCGTTTCTTGATGGCCTGCTGCGGTGCCGAAGCGGTGCGTCTGTCGTACAGCGTACGCACGATCCTTTTTTTTCATACAAAACGCGCGGTGCGGCAACAGTCCTATTGTCGAGCGTACGCTGTACGACAAACGCACCGTTTCGGCACCGCAGCAGGCCGTCAAGAAACGCATAAATTGAAAGCGCCCTTATGAAATTTATTTTCTTTCGTTGTCATAAATATAGAAATTTGATCGGACAGCGCATGACAGAGAAAGTAGTGTTGGAAAATATTGCAAGACCAAAAGAGATTACACTATTCTCTCGATACCGTGCTGTTTGACGTTTCATATACCCATGAAGTTTAATAAAAAAATGATCTAAATTCGAAAGAAATAATTACTGTCCTTCATTCTCATTTTAGTGATGAGCATTTAGTCCTATCGTATCGGCAATCTTAGGGCATAGCATTAAAATTTTACAAAACTATATTATATTATGTATTATTATATTTAGTTAATATAGTATATTCTCCATAGTTATATTTACGACTTCCGGTAAAAATTTCACGTTTAAAATATTTAATTATAATATCTCTCTCTATCTTTTCTTTTTATCTAACTAGCTGACCCGGTGAACTTCGTACCGCCCAGAAGTCGATGAATGTGGTTTTATTAATTTATATTTATTAATTTAATGATTTTGCAGCTGCAATAAAACAAATACAAAAAAAAAGTTTAAAAGGATAATATACCTATATGTTATAATGAAATGAAAGTATAGTGTAGAAGTTATATTCATCGTCTCCTTACCAAAATATCGGCTATTATTGCAACTTGTCCTATGATCACATTATTTTCTTACATTACAATATCACTCTCTAAAGTGACCATCTTCTTTCTATATTGTAGTAACAAATTTGCAGTAGGTACAAAAAAGCTTTATGCTTTTGTGTCACAATTAACACAAGGCGAAAAAGGTGGAATACCAAATCTAATTTATTTTCACAATTGATTTTCTGCATTACTTTTTTCCGTGATTTTTCCTATATTTAATTAGTTATTCTGCTATTCGGGGCGGAAAGGATTCCAAATAATCATAATTCTCATAAAAATCGGTGCAACCATTCTTGAGTTATAAGTGTTCTAACTAACATTACTTTTTTCTATCTTCTGTCTACTTTCTATCTACTTTTTACTATCCGGGTAAACTATTGAACTTTTTTGTGTTTGTTTTATTTCGCTTGTAAAGCCCTTTTAATTAAGCTAGATATTAAAGATAGCCCTTTTATCGACTGATAAAAAGGCGGTACGCAGTCCGGGTCAGCTAGTGATAATATAATTGCAATGTCCTTATTCACCACATAACTAAGCATTTGTAAGTTCGAAATGTATAATAAATAAATCAAAACGATCGCCGCACATAGGATCTCTTAGCTTATAAAGACATTTATAATTTTCATTTGATTCAATCCTTTTGATCAACAACCGTTTGCGATATTGGTTAAAATAACAAAAAAAAATGAGACACATTTAATACTTTATTTTTTCGATTTAAAACATATTTTCACTTCACTATTGTAATGTGCCAATACGGATATCATCATAGCGTCATTGCAAAAAATATAGCCACAGTTTTTCGGTGTCAGGGCATATCTGGCGATTGAAATCTTTGTTCAAATGATAATGGTTAATGGCGGAGGTGCCGTTAAGGCAAGACTAGATGCTGTGTCTGCTCTTAAACTGATTGATCTGTTTGTTGTTTGAGCGAGTCCCTGGTTCTGGTTATTATCCGACTGCGCCATATCATATCATGTTGAATCTTTATAAATTAAACAATTTATTTTTAAAACATCACGTGTTTTATTTTATATCTTTTTACCATAGTTAACTTGTTAGATCATTTAACATAGATATACTGTATCCCGCCGTCGTAAAGAATATTTGAAAGTTCCCATGTAATTTATCGCACTTTACAAGTTTATTAAAGCTACAATTGGAAATACCTACTTCATATATATAATATCAATCGAAGACTTGAAGATCTGGCTTAAAGAACTTGAATCCAAGCCTTAAATATTAAAATAAAAACAAAAAAAAACCGAGTGAAAAAAATGTCTATGGTTTTATTGCGCCGCCATATTGGTTAATGGCAAAACGCCGGTCTTTTCCGCCTCGAAGCGTCTGTTGTTTCAACGCGGAAATTTGGTAAATGATGGCAGCAAATAATTATTTCGGGTTTACTCATGGAGGAACCCAATATGGGTAAGTGGAGAGTTTTATGTGCTATATTGAGAGTCAGTTAGACTGCTGAGTAAAATGTTAGCGTATGATTCAAGGGGCAGCCTTGTGCTCGTGTTCCTCGTCAACTCAAAATGGCGTCTCATTATTGATCCGTGTGATTTTTCGTATGAATTTGTGAGGAATTTGTTCACTATAAGTATATTATTTTAGTGCCGCGACTGCTGGGGCGGCGTATGGTGGACAAACGGGTTATGCTGTAGCCCCAGCGGCTACCGCAGCGACGTACGGAACTCAACGCGCTGCAGCCACGGGCTACGACACTGCGTATCAGGCCGCAGCAGCCACTCAAGGTAAGTAAAATACCGATTCTAAAGCTCCGGCGATTGCTGTTGTTATAATAGCACCGATTAAGATATCGCCGGGCAACCTCCAATTGTTATACCCATACATCTATGTACGTTCTATAAAATCGATAATGCTGCGGCATGAAGTCCGGGTCCGCACTCTGGGGTGCCAGCATTTATAGTTATAGCAAGGTCAATTTTTCTAATGTTATTAATCAAGCATGTTCATGGAAATATGCGTATTCTATTGTTAATATCACTAACCAATGGGCCTTTTTTTGCAAAGTTAGGTGAATAATTTATTGAACATGAACCTGTAGGTACATAATCAGAAATAGACCTTACCGTAAGGTAAACACCACCAAGTTACTGTCAGCTATTGCCCCAGGTTCTCTGTGGTAAACTCCAATGGGGTAGATGGAATTTTAAATGCCCCATGAGAACAGGATAAATATAAATAAATATTTCCAACATACACACCATTTAGCCTAGCCCCAAAGTAAGCACTTTAAGGCTTGTGTTATGGGATACTAGGGTAACGGATAGAATACATTTTAAACATCCATGACTGTAGTGCAAATGCTTGTATTCATCACGCAAACAACTGCCCCCCACCGGAATTCGAACCTAGGACCTCTAGAGTCTGCGACACCATGAAACCCGGCATACTAACCACTCAGCCGTGGAGGTCGTCAAAACATAAAAATAAACAGAATCATCAAAATTGTGTTGTCATGTCATACATTTCGATACACTTCACTATTTACTTTCACTTGAAATTAATTTAACCAGAATAATATGCTTCAACTACATCCTCCCATACATTGTAGATGTTTTTGGTGCTTTTTTTGTCTGGAAATAAAAGTGCAGTCATAAAGAGAAAGAAGGCTTTACTTGACATGCATCAATTTGTTTGAATTCATATCTGAATTGTATGCGGTATATAGTTATTTTTTGTAGGATTAATCAATGTGCCCTAAATACTTTACCTAGAACTTTTTTGCTGAATAGGTAAATGCAAAGAAAAAACTTTAGATTATTATTTTTTTGTCTACACAGCTGGCTGGATTATTATTAGTTTTTATGGCATTCATCTTTAAGGGGTTTAGGAGTTTAAGGCCCGTATTATAGAAGATTCTCAGTGATTGATCTAGTCTTGAGCATAGTTAGAAAGGGATGTCGCTATATATAGCACTTTTTTCTTTTACACATTTTTCTAACGGTACTCAAGTAAAGATCAACACTTAGTTGTCATTTTGTAATACGGGCCTCAGAGGTTAAAAGCTAGGTTAGTTCAAACTTAACCTAAACTTCCCTCTTTTCCGAGAAAAGTTAGTTTGATATGAAAGATTTCTTTTATATTTTCCTCAATAAAAAAGAGGAAAGTTAGTTTGAAGTTCAGTTTGAGTATGATGAGACATTTGTGGTCATTACAGGGCTTATCATAAAAACTAAAGGTTAAGACAAAAATTGTTTTAAAGCAGTATGGATAGCTTGAAATAAATTGAAAATTCTACTTGGGCACCAGACCTACCTCAATAGACTCACCGGTAGGATATTGAACTATTAATCGCAAGGGGGGTTGAAGCAAAAGCCAAAGTCACTTTGGTTTGTTTATTTATTGAAATAGCCAACTATTTGCCAACGATTTTCTTGAATTTAGAAGCTATATCTTTTATATAAAATTTTTACCTGAATTTTACATAATGGAAGAATTTACTCTTACCAGAATTATTATGTATCCTTATTAATACATATTTACACATGCTTACTCACCGTTTTATAAAGAAATTAAACAAACAGGCCGATAGTTATCTCCACAGCAAACTTATGTCTCCTGCTAAAACAAAATGTATGTGTAAATTACCGAAATATTTAAAGAGAAACATTTTTCAATTTATAAAAACACCATTAAAAATTATTGATAAACTTCATCATCATCATCATCATCAACAGCCCATCATAGTCCACTGCTGGACATAGGCCTCTCCAAATGCACGCCACTCAGATCGATCTTGGGCTACTCGCATCCAGCTCCTGCCAGCCACCTTGCGCAAATCGTCACTCCATCGTGCCTGAGGACGTCCTACACTACGTTTGCCTAGACGCGGTCTCCACTCCAGAACTCGTCTACCCCAACGGTTATCGGTTCTTCGGCAAATATGGCCAGCCCACTGCCACTTCAACTTGCTAATCCGGTGGGCTATGTCGAGAACTCTGGTTCTCTGTCGGATTACCTCATTTCTGATGCGATCTTTCAGAGAAACGCCGAGCATAGCCCTTTCCATAGCGCGTTGAGCGACTTTGAACCTGTGGATCAGCCGTGCCGTCAGTGTCCACGTCTCGGCTCCGTATGTCATCACAGGTAGGACGCACTGATTGAAGACTTTCGTCTTTAGGCACTGTGGGATCGACGATGTCAGGACTTGACGTAGCTTCCCAAACGCTGCCCAACCTAGCTGAACTCTTCTATTCACCTCGTCCTCAAAGTTGTTTCTAACTAACTGCAATGTCTGCCCGAGGTATACATATTTTTGAACAACTTCGAGAACGGCACCGTGTATTGCAATCGGTTCCGGTAGAACATGTTCATTGAACATGACCTTGGTTTTATCCAAGTTCATCCGTAGGCCGATGCGTATAGAAGAGTCAGCCAGGTCATTCAGCATCTGCTGTAGGTCCTGCAGGGTTTCTGCCATGATGACGATGTCGTCTGCAAATCGCAAGTGAGAGATGCGTTCGCCATTTATGTTGATGCCATGTCGTTTCCAGTTCAGCGTCTTGAACATATCCTCCATTGCATTAGTGAACAATTTCGGGGAAATAACGTCCCCTTGTCTCACTCCACGATGCAACGGTATGGGACTTGTTTGCTGATTCTGTACTTGGACAAACATGGTGGCGGCTTCGTAGAGACATCTTATCACTTGGATGTATCGCCAGTCGACTTGGCAACGCTGCAGGGACTCCAGGACAGACCAGATTTCAATCGAGTCAAAGGCCTTCTCATAGTCCACAAATGCTAGGCACAGGGGCTGATTGTACTCCTCAGTCTTCTGTATAATCTGCCGCACTGTGTGTATGTGGTCTATGGTGCCGTATCCACTCCGAAACCCAGCCTGTTCCGGTGGTTGGAAGTCATCAAATCTTCGCGCAAGACGGTTCGCGATCACTCTTGAGAACAGCTTATAGACGTGGCTTAGAAGGGATATGGGTCGATAGTTCTTAAGTAGGGTCTTGTCCCCCTTTTTAAAGAACAAGACGACCACACTCCTACTCCACGCTTCCGGAGTTCTCCCTTCGAACAGGACAGTGTTAAAAAGCTTTTGGAGCTCCCTCAGTACGGGTTTACCTCCAGCCTTCAAGAGTTCTGTTGTAACACCATCCTCTCCAGGGGCTTTTCCATTTTTAAGCTGTCCAAGAGCAATCTCGATTTCGCCAATACTGACTTCTGGCAGGTCTTCGGTGAAGTGGCGTGTTAATGTGGCTCTAGAATCCTCATTTCCGGGATCAGGTCGAGATGCATGTGATGCGTATAACTGGCTGTAGAAGTCTTCCACTTCCGAAAGGACTGCCGGCTTTGAAGCAACAACTTCCCCACTTGCTGTGGTCAACTTCGTCAGATGGCTTCTTCCAAGAGATTGTACGAACACTTTGGACCCTCGATTCTGCTCGATCGCTCTCTCGATCGAGAGAGTATTGGAGCATCGGAGGTCGTGTCGTACGTGCTTACTGATCTCTTGGTTTATTGATAAACTTACAAGTTTAATATGTAAATAATTGAGATTACTAAATTATCATCTTGTAAGTAAAATTTACATTGTGAAGTGATACTAAAATATTCTTCCTTTTTGTTCCTTCTAAAAGGCAAGCATAGGAATCGGTCTAGAAGCTTTGTTCAGTCACAGATAATAAAAAAAAATGGATGCGTGTAACTTATGTACGCGCGTGAGAAGTTATACTTCTTTAGCATCATTAAAAATATTTTTTAATTACATGCAAATAATTAATAATTACAATAAAATAATAAAAGGACTGGAAAAGGATAGTTAACACAGTCAATTAAGTTCAGTTTTTAATTTGAAAAATTAAATAAATATTCAAAATATTCAATTAAAATCACTACTGAATTTAAGTTATTAGTCCATATGTAATTAGCACTTGTAAGTAACTAAAACACGTTGTGTCTATATAGAAACTAGAAACATGTGGAAAAATATTATAAATATGAAAACAGTGATCAGAGGCCAATATTGTTTTTGTCAACGCGATCATCTTATGGAGCTCTGTGGATCGTTCAAAGTACCTTTCGAACAGATGTCTAATAATGGTGGATTATTAACCACTAAGTGGTTAATAATCCACCATTATTAGACACTAACATTCATAACGCGCCCGCGGCCAACTTCATGGTGTTACTATTGTGTTACAGTGATGCGCGCGCATCTTAAAATTTCACTCTCATCATTTTTTCATAACGCGCCCGCGGCTAACTTTATTATGTTACTTTTGTGTTACAGTGATGCGCGCGCATCTTAAAATTTCACTCTCATATTTTTTTCATAACGCGCCTAAAGAAGTATAACTTCAAAAATGCATGGACTAGTGGAAACGATCTATGGTAAACGAAAACAATGAAACAACCTAAACCAGAGGCCTTCTATCTCTCGTGATTTTGACTTTAGAGTGTACATTTCTATTGCTGTCTACTTGCATGCTAAACATACAATGTAATAATGTAAGTTTTAATGTCAAGCAAATATGTATTTGAAACCAAAATGGCTTACTTCATGAATCATTTTTTATTTGCTTTTATTAATGTTTAAATATTCTGCAATTAGATGCTAATTGCATTCAGCAAACTTAGTAAAATTATATCATTGACATAGAAAACTGAGGGTTACCAGTCTAACTCTGCAGTCTTCAAACTAAAGTGCCGTTAAGTGACATGTGGTCAATTATTCAGTCTTAAATTGCATCTTATACAGTTTTCATTTCTGTATCTATCTGTTGTCTTTAACAAGTATTCATATCTTTTATAGTTCAGGTCTAAAAATCCATCATGTGATGAATAGTTAAAAAATAGCAATATCTTAAAGTTTATATGCTGTTTTCTGCTTTGCTATGTTATGTGTTCAAAAGTTGTTTTTGTGTTTTAGTTTGAGGACAGCAGAACTGTAAAATAATTCCACTGTGAGAGTGGAAATTATAGGTACTTCTCAAATTCATGCAATAGACAGTATTGATGGACAGAGTAACACTGCCAGAAGTTAATTTATTTTTAGTTTCGCTATAGTTAATGCTGTCACTGTTTTTGGGATAACTGTTTCATGCAATAGAATAAGACAACTCAATCGATTAATTTGGGGCTATGCAATTCTGTTGGGACTGTAGTCACTGTGACCTATAAGATCTATTGTGACTCGCCACCAAATTAAAGTACTTTTTTAACCTGTCAGCTTCCAAGAAGCTCAAAATATTTCTAGCTTTTAGAGATTTGATTTCCTCTGAGCATATTATATATCGTCCCAAATAATACTATGGTTGTGGATGAGAGGCCCACATTCACATAGGTGTTTTGGTGTTTCACTCTCCTGATTGCAGTATCTGCAAACTGTATCTATGACACTGAGTCACTCAATTTCATTTGAATGTGGTTGGTTTATCCAGAATTTTTTCGATTCGCTTAGAAGGTCGTCCTTAAGAATTTTCTTAGCATGGTTTTGCTAATTCATCAGCTTTCTTATTGCTGATTTATCCCTGAATGACCTGGTACCCATTTAAGAATGACTTTATTCTTTTGACCCGGGTTATTCAGTTTATTAACGCAATCTTTCACCAATTTCGAGCATATCGTGTTCGAGTTGATGGCGTTAAGCACTGCTTGGCTATTTGAAAAGATACATAAGGCCTGGTTAGCGTAGTGTCGTTGACGATTGGCTTCTGCACGTTCTATGATGGCATGTACCTCTGCCTGGAATATAGTAGCGTGTTTGCCGAGATTCGCGCTTTTGTTGAATCGCGGCCTTTCTCTTGTTCTTACGAGTGCCAAATAAAAAATGCTGTAACTCAACCATATAGCAACTGATATACACACATCTATACATCGAGACTTTCTGCATCCACGTAATTTAAGTGTCGTATCTCCTCTTTTTTGATTAAATGACTGGGACTAGGTTTGTGTCCGTCGGTGCTGCGGGTGCCGCAAACAACCGCCCGTCGAAAATGGCGTAAATCGCGTCTTAAAATTAGCTGCTGTCTATTATCTACAATTTCGTGAGTTGCGGTGCCGCAGTCGCGGAAGGTGCGGATGGAAGTCGTCCCGTTTTTAGCCGAATAAGTAGTGATATGTGGTTGTTGTCCAGCAGCCGCTCACGCGCACGCGCACGCGGCGGCGGCGGCGGCGTCCGCGTACGACGCCAGCAAGTCCGCGTACTACCAGCAGGCCGCCGCCGCCTACCCCGCCGCCGCGCCCCCGCAGCCCCAGCCCGCATATGACGCCTCCGCCAAGCCCGCGTACTCCACGCCCGCCACGTACGCGCAGGTATGTACCGCCAGCAGTCCGCGTACTACCAGCAGACCGCCGCCGCCTACCCCGCCGCCGCGCCCCCGCAGCCCCAGCCCGCATATGACGCCTCCGCCAAGCCCGCGTACTCCACGCCCGCCACGTACGCGCAGGTATGTACCGCCAGCAGTCCGCGTACTACCAGCAGGCCGCCGCCGCCTACCCCGCCGCCGCGCCCCCGCAGCCCCAGCCCGCATATGACGCCTCCGCCAAGCCCGCGTACTCCACGCCCGCCACGTACGCGCAGGTATGTACCGCCAGCAGTCCGCGTACTACCAGCAGGCCGCCGCCGCCTACCCCGCCGCCGCGCCCCCGCAGCCCCAGCCCGCATATGACGCCTCCGCCAAGCCCGCGTACTCCACGCCCGCCACGTACGCGCAGGTATGTACCGCCAGCAGTCCGCGTACTACCAGCAGGCCGCCGCCGCCTACCCCGCCGCCGCGCCCCCGCAGCCCCAGCCCGCATATGACGCCTCCGCCAAGCCCGCGTACTCCACGCCCGCCACGTACGCGCAGGTATGTACCGCCAGCAGTCCGCGTACTACCAGCAGGCCGCCGCCGCCTACCCCGCCGCCGCGCCCCCGCAGCCCCAGCCCGCATATGACGCCTCCGCCAAGCCCGCGTACTCCACGCCCGCCACGTACGCGCAGGTATGTACCGCCAGCAGTCCGCGTACTACCAGCAGGTCTTTAGAAACCCTGTCATTTATAGAACATTTTTACAAATTGAGAGCTAATTTTCCAAATTATCTCCAATTTGGTATATTAGCCCTCATTTTGTCTTTATGAAGCTCACAGAAAGATATCTATCTTGTTCAATCTAACGACAAGCAAAAAAGTAAGTGTAGATTCAAACTTATTAATATTAATGATTGTTATTGAATTGTGTTTTATTCGATACAGGGCGGAGCTCGGGCCGGGGCCGGGACAGGCGCCAAGCCCGCGTACGGCGGCGTGTATACTCACACGCACACACACACCGCCACCACGGCCGCCTCGTACCCCGCGCAGCCCTACACCGCGCCCGCGCAGCACCAGCCCAAGCGTGAGCACCCTCATGTTTACAGAGCCTCACACGCACACTGTACGCGTGCACTACACTAACACACACACACACACACACACACACACACACCGCCACCACGGCCGCCTCGTACCCCGCGCAGCCCTACACCGCGCCCGCGCAGCACCAGCCCAAGCGTGAGCACCCTCATGTTTACAGAGCCTCACACGCACACTGTACGCGTGCACTACACTAACACACACACACACACACACACACACACACACCGCCACCACGGCCGCCTCGTACCCCGCGCAGCCCTACACCGCGCCCGCGCAGCACCAGCCCAAGCGTGAGCACCCTCATGTTTACAGAGCCTCACACGCACACTGTACGCGTGCACTACACTAACACACACACACACACACACACACACACACACACACACACACACACACACACACACACCGCCACCACGGCCGCCTCGTACCCCGCGCAGCCCTACACCGCGCCCGCGCAGCACCAGCCCAAGCGTGAGCACCCTCATGTTTACAGAGCCTCACACGCACACTGTACGCGTGCACTACACTAACACACACACACACACACACACACACACACACACACACACACACACACACACACACACACCGCCACCACGGCCGCCTCGTACCCCGCGCAGCCCTACACCGCGCCCGCGCAGCACCAGCCCAAGCGTGAGCACCCTCATGTTTACAGAGCCTCACACGCACACTGTACGCGTGCACTACACTAACACACACACACACACACACACACACACACACACACACACACACACACACACACACACACACACACACACACACACACACACCGCCACCACGGCCGCCTCGTACCCCGCGCAGCCCTACACCGCGCCCGCGCAGCACCAGCCCAAGCGTGAGCACCCTCATGTTTACAGAGCCTCACACGCACACTGTACGCGTGCACTACACTAACACACACACACACACACACCACGGCCACACTAACACACTAACACACACACACACACACTAACACACACACACACACACACACACACACACACACCACGGCCGCCTCGTACCCCGCGCAGCCCTACACCGCGCCCGCGCAGCACCAGCCCAAGCGTGAGCACCCTCATGTTTACAGAGCCTCACACGCAACACAATCATGCATACAACTGACACGAAGAAACCCACTAATAAATAATATAAATAATAATAAATATTGCTAACACTCACACCAATTAGCCTAGCCCCAAAGTAAGCACTATTAAGGCTTGTGTTATGGGATACTAGGGTAACGGATGGAATACATATACTGTACATATATAAGTATATTTATATAGAATTACATATTAAACATCCATGACTGGAGTACAAATGCTCGTATTCATCACACAAACATCTGCCCCCACCGGGATTCGAACCCGGGACCTCTCGAGTCGGCGACACCATGAAACCCGGCGTACAAACCACTCGGCCACGGAGGTCGTCAAATACTAAACTAATGGAAATTAAACTTGTGTATTTCATCAATATACAAATATTAAACCATAAGGCTCAGCAAAGATACAGAAATGTTAACAATTTAAGTTAAACCCTAATTTCTATATCATATGTTTTAAAATTTAATAGTAAACATGACAAAGAGTAAGCGGCGCACAGTGCTGTGAAACGACCACGAGATGCCATGTTAAGTACCTACTAGTATAATCTCACAAAGTCATAAAATATTAGAAATTATAAGAAACAACACCCCAAAATCATTTATGATTAGCAATTTTTCCTTTATCTGTGCTATAAGACGTTGCTTCGTACCAAATTTCAAGATTCTGAATTCACGGGAACAACTCTGTAGGTTTTGATTCCCTTGCTGGTTTCGAAAATTTGCGGCATAACGGCTATATCTTTTGATTGCGTTAGCTTAGAAGTTTGATTTTTACACAGCTCCAAGGGACAGTAGAACTGAGCATTTTATATAAATTTCAGCTTGAGACCACGAATGTTAAAACCACACTTTCATGAGAAAAAAGGTCTTGACAGACGAACAACAAAGTGATCCTATAAGGATTTTGCTTTTTCCTTTCGAGGTATAGAACCCTAAAAAGTCGATAAAAATGCTTCCTCTGTCGCCAAGAGGAATATTTCTTAGATAGTGTTATTTTCTATTTTGTTTCATCTAGAAGCTGCTAATCGCGGCAACACTGCTTACGACACGGCGCTTTACAACGCAGCCACTATGTACGTCGCGCAACAAAACAAGACTGGTGGTGGAGGGTAAGTCATTGATTCTACTTTTATTATTTGACAAAATACTGTTCAATCATATTAGTCTGTACAAAATTTCTTATAACTGTTATTCTTTATTATTATCATCTTTAATTTGTAGGTAGAATTCAGTTATATGAATAAGCACTGCATTGGGAGTGATATTTTTTTTTGTGACATCCATTCACCAAGCCTACTTTACAATAGACTTATGTATTTGATGTGTAACATCTTTCCTGCAATTTGTGGGAGTGATTTCGTGAAATGGGAACGGAATGGAAACGGAAGTGTGTAAGAGGAAGTCGCGAAAGCGCGCGCTATTTGATTTGATTTTAGAACATAATGTTCAAATGGCTTATTCCTTTTAGTAGGTTTTATTTCTTTATTTACTTATATAAAGTGAGGTTTCAAATGTTACACATCATACGCGATAAGCCTGGCTCGTTTTTTTTATTTGTCAATCAGGTAGATTATCAAATTAAAACAACAATTATATTGATTTCATTTGTCGCATGAGGCTCATCATAATGCAGCATATAACCGCAGCGGATGGCGGTCGAATGTATGATAAAAATAAAATAAAAAACAATTAGAGTAGCATCAAAGTTTGAAAGTTTAGATATTAACTAAATTTCATAAAAAAACACATGTAAAAATGTGTTATTAAACCTCGAGAGGTGGAGGCCAGGAGATTCCATAGAACGGAGTCCACCTATTTTGGACTCCTGTCTTCCAATCCTGACTTGTGAATATACTTTTCTGTGTCATGTCATGCATTATTTTGGTTATCACCTAGCTTGTAATGGAGGAAAATAAAATTATTATAGTTAAACAAAGAAAAGTAAGCACTTGTAGGCTTGTGTTTAAGGGATACTAGGGTAACGGATAGATTAAATATCATCATATATAAGTTTATTTATATACAAACCAATATTAAACATCCACGACTGGAGTACAAATGCTCGTATTCATCACACAAACACCTGCCTTCACCGGGATTCGAACCCGGGGACCTCTCGAGTAGGCGAAACCAGGAAACCCGACGTATAAGTCGCGGCACGAAACTCTAGCGCTGACCGTTATTGCGCAGAAGGAAAAATGAAGATGTGTTGGGGGGAAACGAGGTGCGCAGGCAGCGTGCGTTGCGCTGATTAGCTCTCCAGTAGCGGTGGGTCGTTCTCAAATTTTCAGACGACGAAACGCAACCGTTTTCTCTTAAACGAAAACTAGTCCTCAAAACGGGTCTCGTTCGCAACTGGTTTTGGTTGCGGCTGGGCGACGCAACGAAACGACACGCGACGGTCGAACGAAGGTAACACAACGAAACTGAACTAAATGAAATCTTGTTAACGTTCGTACTTCGTTTCGTTGCTGCGAACGAGACGACGAAACATCGAAATAAATGTAGTGTTATACGATAATCGACTTGTAAGTGTTCAATAATAAAGATTATTTTATTGTAAACTCAAAGCTTAATTTATTATAGAACGAAAAGGTCTCATATCATTGCGTTCTATTATAGACTGTATTTATTTCATCATAAAGTACATATTGGCGTGCAGACAATCCTAGTTGTTCGACGAAGACTGTTTTGATCCGAAACGTAAAACGGTTCTATCGTCGCGGAACACAAAACGGTCCTTGAAACCAGTTCGTCTTTAGAACGCTCACACCTACTCTCCAGTCACACCCATGCGCAGCTATCCCTGACGCGTTTTGTTCAGTGCTAGCACATACCATTATCGAGTTCGAATAGTTTGCAAACCGAAATGTCAATGTCAAATTTTGTATGGAAACTTGAACAGCAGTGGCACAAAGTACGTAACGAGAACTAAAAATCAGTACACATTTGACAATGACATTTAGAACTCGCAAACGATACGAATTCGATTGCTAAGGGTAATGTACAAACCTCTCGGTTCGGCCATGGAGGTCGCCAATGTAAAGTTTGGTTGTTTCCGTAGTGGTTGGAAGAACTACAACAAGAGTGGTGTCGGCGCGGGCCAGCAGCGCCGCCCCAAGCCGCCGCCCAAGACGCAGCAGCTGCACTACTGCGACGTGTGCCGCATCTCCTGTGCGGGCCCGCAGGTATGCTCATATTTGTAGTAGCACATGAGACACATTATTGATGTGTAACATCTTTCCTCTCGCTTTATTGCAATTTGTGGGAGTGATTTCGTGAAATGGGACGGAAGTGTTTAACAAAGCGAAGGCGCGAAAGCGCGCTATTTGATATTAGAACAATGTTTATTTTTATTTTTTTGGTTTATTTTTTTTGTAGTCGTTTTTTTACTAATATAAGCCTTATACCTTTAAAAAAAAATGATATAACATCTAAAGAAAATATTACTAGAAAAAAATCCACGCGGACCAGGCAGGAGGCGGGACTCGAACCAGCACACTTCGCTTTCCGGGCGTATGCACTGACTGTTATGCCATCCCGTCTGCTGCTGGTCCACGTGGAAAATTTTCTAGTAATATTTTCTTCAGATTTAAACATCGAGCAGTTATATGCTTAAAAAATAAAAACAATAATATTATAACATTTTCGTATATTTCAAATTGAAGGAGCGAAGTTAAGCCTCCATGATAGGGGACGAGTATACAAGCTACAAGCCAGCGAGTTTGCCAGCTGCTTGTGAACTCGCTCTGTGTCATTGAGCAGCAAATTGCATAAAAGCCGATGACACGGGGACTTCTTGTTCCGTGTCATCGAGGCTTAACTTTGCTTCTTCAACTTGAAATATATGAAAATGTTAAAATCATTCAATTTTAAAACCTTTTTAATGATAATGTTTCGAAACAGGGAATGATTTGTAAATATTTAACAATGAGATTTAACGCGCAGCGGGAAATATTGCTGACGCGTTTACCTACTTATTATGAGTTCAATGTGCGGCTAAACCCGTACAAACATATATTTAGAAGGCTACTTTTATTAATCGGAAGTTAAATAATTTTGGCAGTCGCGATCTCACTTTTTATGCCCCATTTAGCAAGCCTCTCATACCTCCACAGACATACAAAGAGCACTTGGAAGGCCAGAAGCACAAGAAGAAGGAAGCGGCCGTAAAGTTAGCCGCGGCGGGGTCCGGCACCGGCAGCGGCGCCGGAGCCGGCGCTGCCCGCGCCGCGGGCGGGGCGCTGCGCTGCGAGCTGTGCGACGTCACCTGCACCGGCGCCGACGCCTACGCGGCGCATGTGCGCGGCATCAAGCATCAGAAGGTGGTCAAACTGCACACCATGCTGGGCAAGCCCATACCCTCCACGGAGCCTACCAAGCTGGGAGGTCAGTATATCGACACTAGTGTTGCACTGGATAATTATCAATCATAATAACGTGTCACTATGATAAAAAGCATAAAACCAGGACTAGGCGACAAGAAAATAATAAATATTTCTAACACATCTAGGATAATATTCCGTTGTCTTTATTGGCCAAAAATTAGAGATAAAAATAAATCAAAATAATAGTATGATTAAGAAAAAAGCATTTATTACATAGACTTTAAATACTTTTAAATTTACAATAAATGAAAATAATAGCTGCTATAATAATAATGCTTGATATGCATAAATTATTTACCCACAGCTCAATAATTATCCATATTAATAATTATCTTTAAAATTTGCAACCCTGATCAACACTACCACCTCTGACACTGACACATTGTTCTCTTCAGATGCATAAACATTTAAGACCTAAACTTCACTAGGATTAAATTTAAAACATTTACAATTATCAGTTTCAGGAACAGTAAAATTTGTTTAATGAATTTTAAACTATTTTTAACGTCAAATGCTGCTAGATGTCTTTCCCTTAATCTTTAAACCCTTTACAGATATTCTGAATTTAAATTAGATATTATCTTCTACAATTATCTAGCAACACTAAACACCAACCTGCTTAAATGACAGAAAATTCTGTATGTTAAAATCAACATGTCCTCAAAAAAAGATACAGTCGTTTTAGGTGGGTTTTTGTCAAACATTGACACTTATTGTATCAATACTTTGTACTTTTATGTCAGATATGATTCCCAATGACCTAACGAGTGGGGATCGTATTTGTGTGTGAGAAACCGCCCTTTATCTGTACTGAATTCCCTTGATGCCACTGAGTCAAATCTGTAAAAAAGAGCAACGCGAAAAGTCGTCTAATATTAAAAGAAAGAAACGAAGTCAAATTGTCTCCCAACTCATAAAGAAAACAGTTTTCGGCACTCAATACAGATATGGAGTGTGAGAAACGCTGGGCCTTTTCACTTATTACCTTACTCAAGAAAGGCCCAAAAGCATTTCGCGTTAAAGAAAACAAAAAATACTCAGAGAGAATTCGACTTTTCCGGTCCGTTAGCGAAAAGCACGGTAGCCGGCACGACCAAGATCGCGTTCGTGGCTTCCGGGGGGCTCAGTACAGTGGCGCGAGGCGGTAAAGACGGCAATACCCAAGGGGACAAGGAGAAAGACGGCGACGACAAGGACGACGACCACGAGCCTGAGCCGGAGGTGCAACCCGTGGGGCAGGACTATATTGAAGAGATCCGCGGCGACGACGGCAAGCCCATCAGCTTCAACTGCAAGCTGTGCGACTGCAAGTTCAACGACCCCAACGCCAAGGAGATGCACATGAAGGGCCGTCGCCATCGTCTGCAGTACAAGAAGAAGGTGCGTATGAAAACCATAGCTAGGTGATTAGTTTTGAATGGTGTTGATTCTGGCTTGATTATCCAAAATTTAACTAAAATTAAGATCAGTTCTCCTTTTTATATTATTCAGATTTAGAGAATCGTGCCAGAATCGATACGAATGTGTTGTTCATTGAAACATTTAAATTTGCGTCTGAACTCATTTACACTTACACTTAAAAGTGAGGTTTCGCGAAACTAAGAAATAGATTAATTAGTAAAGATAAGAAAGTTAAAGGTTCACTTCAATTTCTGGGAATTGTTTGTTATATTCAAATAGAGGAACAGGCTTCAGGCAAATAAGCTATGGTAAACTTTTCTGTGTTTGTTTGGGAAAGGTTATAAAATAATGAATGAAGTCTCAAGTTGATGACAGGCTAGGATGAGGTCTCGCGCCATAGATTTGCGAACCGATGGCGTAGCTTTCGACTTTCACATGTGCTTGTAAAAGCCTAAATTGAAATAATGAATATTGAATTGATAAAGTATTTGAGTCTTAAAGTCATAATTAATTAATGATGTTGAAAATGCAGTAGGAAAATCATCCAATGATTATTTAGTAAAAGGTTTGAGGTGCCCGTCGAGCCTGGCGGCCGCTTGCGGTTGCCAAGAGATCCGGGTATCGAATGATTACTCGGCGTAATGAGGATGATTATAACATAATGATAATTCTATTTATGATATTCATGATAAAAACTTGTATTTATTGTTCTGATGATCACGGAAAATAGTAATAAAATCAAATACCTGATATTAGCTCTATTTTTAATTTCTGTTCGTATATTTTGGCTAAAATGTCGACAAGTTCGGACGACATCATCATCAGCCTATCAATGTCCCCATTGCTGGGGCACAGGCCTTCCTTATGGATAGAGTAGGGAGATTGGGCCATGACCCATAACGGCATAACGTGCCTTCCGTAGCACGGTGGAGCCTGAGAGAGTAAATTTTTGGTTACCTATCCAATGACCGACTACTGTGAAAGTTGCTTAACTTCTACGATCGCAGCCGAATGCGCTAACCATCTGCGCCATGGAACTTCTCTAGATATGGGACGATATACTTAACTATTATTTAATGACAAGGATATTGGTTAAATCTACAATATTAACGTTAGGTATACACAGAATATTAAGTGAGCATATTGTCTCCAGGTGCAACCTGACCTGGAGGTGAAGGTGAAGCCGTCGATGCATCAACGCAAGCTGGCCGAGGCTAAGGCGCAGCGCATGATGGTGCGTGACGAGCTGTGGGCCCGTCGCCGTATGCACGATGTGAGTGTTGTGAGAAATTATTTACATTAATGGCGCGAGTACACTTGGTCGTTAGCCCGAATACGAGTGCCAACATAATTCGGTTAAACGACTAAGTAAATGAACGGAGTCGAGTATGCCCCGTATTCGGGGGGGTGTTGGTTACTCGACACCGTCTTCCAGCCTGTATTCCAGTGTAAATATTGCTTCGGATCAGTAATAGTGTAATGTCGTACGGAATTTTATTGTGGGGAAATGCTGCCGACATTCAAACTATTTTTGTACTGCAGAAGAGAGCTATTAGATCAATTTATTATCTTAAAGTTAAAGAACCGTTAAGAGATAAATTTAAAGAATTTATGAATAATGACGGTCGCATCATAATACATATACAAAAATTTATTACTTGAAAGAAAAAATATTAATTTGTTTCTTAAAAACAGTGTTTACACACTTAATACAAGGAACAAAAATAAACTTAACTACCTGCTTCTAGGCTTCAAAAAATTAATAATTCATTTAAAGGTTGTTGTGTTCGCTTATACAATAAAGTCCCAAGCAATATCCAAGAGTTAACCATAAATAAATTTGAAAATTGTTTAAAAAGGGCACTTATTAAAAAATATTATTACAAAGTGTCTGATTATATTACAGACAAAAATACTTGGGTTTGAACTGTTCCGATCATTCCAACAGGTTTTCTATATTAAATAAATCATAATTGTGTTGACGTTGTAACATAATGATTTGTAAATGTTTTTCGCTCGTTTTTCTCCGCAGTTAATAAATATGTCCATAACAATGGTAGGAAAAAAAAATTTTTGGACGATTCAAAAGAGTTGTACTATACATCCAATTTGAATAAAGATATATTGATTTCTGATGTCTTTTGTGCGATCAAGTGGTATTGAGCCGTAACACTTGACACACTATCATAACAGAGACATCTCTTGAATGGTGTTGTGATAGTTTGTTGTAGTGAAGCGTTGTTATTGTTGTTGTATGGTGGTATTTTGTACACAGGGTATGGAGGAAGACGAGCGCGCGTACTGGGAGGCCGGCCCCGAGCCCTGGTGGCCGCGCCCGCCCATGCATCATCATCATCACCATGTGAGTTGTATGCTAGGGTTCCCTGTCATCATCGTCATCAGCCTATTAATGTCCCCACTGCTGGGGCACAGGCCTACCCTATGGATGGAATAGGGAGATTGGGCCATGACGGACCCGCGGGACCAGTGCGGATTGGCGGGTGCTAACGACTGCAGATGCAGCCGGGACCAACGGCTTAACGTGCCTTCCGAAGCACGGAGGAACTCGAGATAGTAAATTTTTGGTCACCCATCCAATGACCGACCACTGCGAAAGTTGCTTAACTTCAATGATCGCAGCCGAACGCGGTAACAGCTTGCGCCATCGAGCTCCTCACCCTGTAGGCTTCATATAATTACTATAAGTACTTCCAACACAATTTAATATTGTTAAGGAATAAATAAGTTATAAATATCAATGAGTCGCTGTCGTCAACTGGTGGCGACGGTTGTAGTCGCCGCTGTCGTTGGCTGCGAACCTCTCGTGTATATGAACTTTTTACTCGTGTAAGGTTTTGTGAAAATTTGCAATTAACGATTGTTAGTAAGAGTGTTTTTGTTCTGTCTTAGAATGATTGTAAAAACTTGTTAATTGTTTACAAAAGTGGGAGACGTCTTAAAACAATTAAAAATTACATGAGATTTATTGGGTAAAATCTTTTCATGTTATATTAGCTATATGGCATTTCATTTATTTGAATAAAATTTACCAAATAATAGAGTTGTATTCACGAATTTAAAAAACAGTGTAGAACCAGACTCAATTTGTACTTATACTTCTCGATGCATTTATCGGCCCACATAGCATTTTATAATTTGACGGTTCCTAGTTAAAACTAAACGTTACATTGAGCATAAATTTATTGTGCAGTTTTAAAGGTGATTTTCGTGTTTTTATAAATATATATTTATTGCACGTCCTAATATCCATTTTCGCTACAAACTGTTGAAACTTATAACAATAAGTGAGTTGACAGATGTGTCCGGATTTGTTTTAATGGATCCATTACATTTGCTAAAAAATATACTCAAGTTTCGTTAATCTGTGGCAGGGTATGAGCATGGGCTACGGTCCCATGGGTCGTCGACCGGAGACTTCGGACGACCGGCACGTGCTGGCCAAGCACGCGGAGATCTACCCCGCCGAGCCGCAGCTCAACGACATCCAGCGCTGCGTGTCGCACACCGAGCGCGCGCTCAAGGCGCTCTCCGACGCGCTGAGGGAACAGGCGCGCCCCAAGGTGACGTGACCAGGCCCGGAGTGCTTCAATACTTTTGGTTTTTGACACAGTTCACCAAAATGCTAAAACCTATGTCTGATAATGGCTATGATAGTGTTACTATTCCTACTAATGTTATGAATGTGAAAGTTTGAATGTGTGACACTCAATCACGCCAACACGATGAATTTTCACACACAGAAAGCTTATAACCCGGGAAGAGACATGGGATGGATTTATCCTCTTATTCACTGTAGATTTCTGTTTTCTAAACAGGGGCAGACCCCAGCCAAAGCTGCAGTGAAAACAGAGGACAAGAAAGATGACAAACCAGAAGGAAAGGAGGACGGTCGCGATAATCAATTGTAAGTTTCTTTTTCTATAGCTAATTATTGTTGTGACCTTATGTTTTCTTAGTACGATTATTATTTTCTTTGTTTTTGTTGTGTGAATCTTGAGTTTTTCATTGTCATGCTTTTTTTTAACTAATCCGACAGTTTTATTGTTTTGTTTGAATGCACTTTACACCAAAACCAGGTATGGTATATTGCTGCCTGTAAAAATAGAAGACATTAAAAAAGAGAAATCTGATACACCTAATCAGCGCATACAGAGTAAATCGTAAGTTCGCAACTAGCAACATAAATTGTTGATGTAGAGTAGATGTAAAAATATTTATAGACTGCATCAAGGCAGCCTCCTTTTGTCAGGAACTCGAGAAAAATAGTCGTGTCTTCTCATTATTTGTGTGATGTAGACTGTAGCTGTATATCTTTTGAACTTTTGTAGTCTAGTTTGTTTTTTATGTAACATATTTTTTGTTTGGTAAGTATATAATAAATTAATTATAAAATAAATAGTATTCCTTTCAAGTATGGTTTGAACATAGTGTATCATTGGTGAATATATACCTGGCATGAGCACCGCTTATAACATATCGTTCGTTTTTATCTCCCAAACATCATTGACAAATTTCCATGGCGTTTGACAGTTATAGCAAAGCGTCTAACTGTCAAACGCCATAGAAATTAATGCGCGCCGGTCTATACACGGGGACAAGAATGAATATGTAGCAAGCATTGCATGTCTTATAGCAAAACCTGAAACGTTTTATACATTGCGGCGCACTTTAATTTTGCACTAATGCAATCCTGCTCATAGTTGTTATGACATAATATGAGTTAGTTGAAATGCAATATGTCTAAATTTGCAATACTCCTACAATATTGAAATCCTGTAGTGGGAGCGTTTTTGGATTTCAGATATGATAGGAATAGGTTATTAATATTTTCATTGGGCTGCTTTTATAATCTATTTTGTTCAAATTAATTATAATTTGGGGGAAAGGTAGCAAGAGTAGTTGACATAATTTTCTTTCAACTTTTACATTGGTAAAGTGTCACGGTCACCCTGGTCTACTAACTAAGGTCAGAGAATGAGAAAATGAGACAACAGGATACCATGCAAATTAAAAATTTAATAAAAAACTCGACCCGGAGAAAATACAAATTTTACAGGTGGGGGTTGAGCACTTAATCCACACAAGTTCTTTAGGTTCGTCGGTTCAGGTACTCTCCTGTGTAACGCCAGGCAGTTGGTGATCCCGGGAGTCGCGTTATGGATACCGCTGGCGACTGGAGGCTGCAGGAACGGGCAGCTGAGCCAGGCAGAGAGTACTCTCGTGATGGTGAAAGTAGGGCCGAGAGGTGATACCGGCCAAGTTAGTATCCCGAGCGTTGAACCCCAGTTTCGGGGCGGTCGACACTCACTTCACAATAATTTATGATATTATTTATTTAAGGAACGCTGAGTGACGATCACGAAAAATATTATATTGGTTACGAGTTTTAAAGATTAAATTTTCCCGTATTAGCGACCATAAAATTCTCTGTGACGTACGTTCGCTCAAATTACATCGAGAAAAAAAGTGAATTCGCGGGCGGCCGGTCATGCAGTTTTATCTTAGCAAGAACAAAAGATCCTGCTTGGAGCACTAAAATGTTGCATCGCGCGAGTTTACGTATACAAATCCGCTTGATGAATTTATGTTGCATTTTAGTGTCAGTGAATAGTTTTATTATTGTAAATAGCCAATTTGTTTATTAATATTATTATGATTTGTAAATAATTTAGTTATAATAAAATTGTGTTTTATTTTTATAAGTAGTTTTTAGTGTAGAATTAAATCTAATAGTGTTATTATTTAGTTTTAGGCATTGTAAATATTAAATTTAAGAGTATTTTAGGGTAATAATATGATTATGTAACGCATAACGTTACATATACCCCTCCTCGCCTGGAAAAGGGTTTTGTTCTTAAATAAAACCCGCCTTAGACTGCTCTTAGCATTTACTCATTCATTCTTCAACTTCCATTCTATCATTCAAAATAAAACAAACATAAAAGCATCAATAGCATTACTTAAGCCATTGGCGCGTCCTATCAAACTTAAAGTCAGTAGTTATTATAAAGCTATTGACTCATGCTAAAAACAAGATGTTATAGAGGAATTTTCTTTTACTTATTATTACCGAAGAGTTTTAGGTCCTTGATATGCCAAACACCTATGTTTTTTCCGGACATATTTTCTAGGACATATACAAGTGGCGATCTTTTTTCAATTACTCGACATTTAATATATTTTGGAGCCAACTTTTTACTGAAATATTTGTCTTTATCGCTCAATATGTATGTACGCTTAAAGACTATGTCACCTACGTTGTATTCAGCTGGTTTTCTGCGCAAATTATAGTGTGCGGTATTCTTCACATGTGCATTCCACAATGAGGCTTGCACATCATTGAATATTGAAAAGAGACAACCTCGGTTTTCGGCGTATAAGTCGCGTGGTAAGAACAAAACTTCGTCACCTAAGTCAGAGTCCGTATAGTGCGATCCGCATAACACTAACTCCCTACCGTACACTAAGAAAGAGGGCGTGTACCCAGTAGCTTCATTTACTGAATTATTAATTGCGAATTGCACCTGAGGAATGAAAGTGTCCCAGGACCTATGATCATTTTCAACGAAGGTTGATAGGCTGGTGACTATAGTTTTGTTGTACCGCTCGACTAAGTTTATTTGTGGCGTGTACCTAGGACTGAAATATACATTAGGGACTTTATATTTTTCAAACAAGGCTTTAGTAGTTGAGCTAATAAAGTGGCTGCCATTATCTAAAAAGATAGTTTGCGGTATACCATAAACTAAAAATATCGAGTCTTCTAATACTTTTACGACTGCATCTGCAGTAGCGCGACGTAGAGGGAAAACATTGCAATACTTAGTGAAACAGCAGGTTACGACAAGCATGTAACTATTTTGCTTACGAGTGACAGGCAGAGGACCTACAAAATCAATTGAGATCATTTGATGGGGGCGTGAGCACTGCTTCGGACGACCCATTTCTCCCAATGTAGTGTGATTTTGCGGCTTATACGCTAAACAAACTGAACAAGAACCTACGTATTTTACAACACTCTGATGCATACCAGGCCAGTAATATGATAATGCCAAACGATTGTAAGTTTTGAAAATTCCGAGATGACCAGCTGTTGGTACAGAATGGTTCTCACATATGATTTGTTCACGGAATTCAATAGGAACAACTTCTTTCCATGCGAACTCAGACGTGAGGTTCGATTTATTCTTTGAAAGCCGAAATAAGGAGTTGTTTTTAATTGTGAAATTTGGAAAATGGTTAGCGTTATTAAGGACACCGTTATATATCTTTTTGTACCAATCGTCAGACGTAGTGTTAACAGAATTTGAAAGAGATATGGCCGAAACGGGAACAGCACGTGAGAGAGCATCGGGTATCACATTGTCAACGCCCTTTCGGTGTTTTAAATCAAAATTAAACGAAGATAACCGTACTCCCCAACGCGCTAGTCTTCCAGTGGGATTATCTAATGACAGGAACCATTTCAACGCAGAATGGTCAGTGTACACCACGAATTTAAGGCCATTTTCGAGGTAGCATCTCCAGTGCTCGAGAGCAACTAGCACAGCAAGCGTCTCCCTTTCTGTGATACTGTAGTTTTTCTCGGCACCGGAAAGAGATCTACTCATGTAGGCAATGGGGTGCTCTTTACCATCAATATTCTGCGTTAACATGGCTCCAATGCCATAATTACTAGCGTCCGTATGGACCTGGAAGGGCTCAGTGTACACCGGGCAAGAGAGGACTGGTGCAGAGACGAGACACTCCTTAAGAGCATTAAAAGCTGCATCAGCCTCCGGCGTCCACTGAAAAGGAGGTGATTTTTTCCCATTTGAAGTTAGTTTATTAAGTGGGCCAGCAACTGTACTAAAATTAGGAACAAAACGTCGGTACCAAGTAGCGGTACCGAGAAAGCGTTTCAGTTCCTTTTTGCTTTTAGGAACTGGAAAATTTAAGATTGCCCGCACCTTTTCCTGGTCCGTGCGTAAACCACGAGCATCTACTACGTATCCCAGGTACTTAAGTTCGCTTCTGAAGAAATTACATTTTTCGAAATTTACTGTCAGGTTGGCCTGTTTCAATTTCTCTAGGACACGCAATAGACGAGATACGTGTTCTTCGAAAGTAGAGCTTATGATTACAATGTCATCCAAATACGCAAATGTTTTTGACTCCATGTCACCGAAAAGTAAGTCTACTAAGCGCTGCTGAGTGGCTGGTGCATTCGTCAGACCAAAAGCAGTGGTTTTAAACCGTAGGCTGCCTCGGCCTGGTACATAAAAAGCAGTCTTATCGCGATCCTGAGGTTCTATAGGAATCTGCCAAAAAGCCTTCGAAAGGTCAACGCTCGAAAGATACTTTGCGTCGCGTAGGTTGTCCAGAATCTCTGAGACATAAGGCAAATTATACGCATCTTTCTTTGTCACAGCGTTGAGCTTCCGACTATCGAGACAAAACCTGGGCTGTCCATTCTTCTTATTCACGATAAGCGCTGGAGAAGACCACGCACTCTCGCAAGGTTCTACAACGTCGAGCGCTAACATTTCATCAACCTGCTCTAATAAAATGCGCTGTTTCTCTGGAGACATTCTGTAATAACGCTGCCTTATGGGCTGAGCGTCTCCAGTATCTATTCTGTGGGAGATCAAATTTGTTCTACCTAGACCTTTCTCCTCTATAGATATAGACTTAAATTGAGCGATAATATTGTCTGCTATTGATTTTTGCGAAGCTATTAATTGGTCGTATGAATTAATGAAACTTTGTGAATTATGTAATTTCACTTCAGCTAATGGACTCTTAGACATAGTGATACTACCTATATATTTGGGACAAATTTGGAAGATACGCCAAAAGTCAATGCCTAATATAATAGGAGTTTCTACTTCAGGGACTGCATATGCCTTAATTACATGTAGTTGG